GTCCTACTGTGCGTCGTGCGCCTTCGTCGCGTCCTGTCTCGCCTGTCCGTCCTGGTCGTTCCGGTCGTCGTGTTCCTAGTCTGCGTCAGCTGGCTGTCCGCAGCGCGCACCTTGTCGTCAGACGTCCTTCGTCTACTCCGCAGCGTGTTCCTCTGTCGTCTCCCCCTGCGTCCTCTCTGCCTGACGTTCCGGACCCTGAGTCTGACCAGTTTCGTGCTGCCCACCCTACTGTCACGCGTCTGTTAGCTACTGTTGTCAGTGACCCATCCTTTGAGTCTGCCTCTGTGTCTGCCTTAGTCGCTGAGCTTGTTGACTTTGCTGCTGCCTGTCGTCTAGACTACGCTGCCGGTCTAGTTGCTGAGTCTGAGTCTGTCTGTCCTCCGTCCGTCGGGGGGTGAGTGTGCTCTTGGCACGGACGTCCTTGAGGATAGGCAGGAGGACTTTGACTCTCTTGCGGCTGCTGTACCTCATCTCACGGCCTGGCTGCTTGCCCCTGAGGGAGACCCGGATGCATTAGACATCCCTACCCCCCGCTCTTACACAGAGGCGGTCTCGGGTCCCTACTCCTCTCAGTGGCAGACAGCCATGGACGCAGAGGTGGCATCCTGGAAGTCCACATCCACCTACGTCGACGCTGTTCCCCCTCCCGAGGCGAATATCGTCGATGGCATGTGGATTTTCAGGGTGAAGCGGCCGCCTGGTTCTCCGCCTGTCTTCAAGGCTCGTTACGTTGCTCGAGGCTTCAGTCAGCGACAGGGAGTTGACTTCTTCCAGACCTTCTCTCCTACCCCGAAGATGACCACTCTTCGGGTGCTACTGCACGTTGCTGCTCAGCGTGACTACGAGCTTCACTCTCTTGACTTCAGCACGGCTTTCTTGCAGGGCAGCCTACACGAGGAGATCTGGCTGCGCCGTCCTCCTGGCTTCACTGGGTCGTTCCCTCCTAGTACCCAGTGGAGCCTCCGTCGGCCAGTCTACGGTCTTCGCCAGGCACCGCGTGAGTGGCACGACACACTAAGGACGACACTTGCGGCTCTTGGGTTTGCTCCTTCCACTGTAGACCCATCACTGTTCCTGCGCACAGACTCGTCGCTACCGCCGTTCTACATCCTCGTGTACATCGACGACTTGGTCTTTGCTACTGTTGACACTGAGGCACTTGCTCTTGTGAAGTCGGAGCTGCAGAAGAGACACACGTGCACAGACCTGGGTGAGCTGCACAGTTACCTTGGCTTGCAGATCACCCGGGACAGAGCACGCCGCACCATCACCCTGACTCAGTCACACATGGTGCAGCAGGTCCTTCAGCGCTTCGGCTTCCAGTTCTCCTCACCTCAGTCCACTCCTCTGTCTACCAGCCACTCGCTCTCAGCTCCACCTTCGGACGAGTCCGTAGAGCCGAGTGGCCCGTACCCAGAGCTTGTGGGCTGCCTCATGTACCTGATGACCTGCACTCGACCTGACCTTGCGTACCCTCTTAGCATCCTAGCTCGCTACGTCGCACCTGGGAGACACAGGCGAGAGCACTGGGAGGCTGCTAAGAGGGTGCTGCGCTACTTGTGCAGTACATCAGGCATGGGGCTGGTGCTTGGAGGACAGGGCTCGGTTGTCCTCACTGGACACTCAGACGCTTCTTGGGTTGACGACCTGGCTACACAGCGGTCGTCACAGGGTTACACTTTCAGCCTTGGCTCTGATTCTGTCTCTTGGCGTTCCACTCACTCTTCTTCTGTTCTCAGCTCCAGTTGTGAGGCTGAGATCTACGCCACGGCCATGGCTGCACAGGAGCTACGCTGGCTCACCTACCTACTGACTGACCTGGGTGAGCGGCCTCGTTCTCCTCCAGTTCTGTACGGCGACAACAAGGCAGCTCTTGCCTTGTGTTAGGAGCACAGACTGGAGCACAGAATGAAGCACATTGCTCTCCGTTACTTTCTGGCTCGAGAGCTGCAGCAGCGTGGCCAGCTTCGCCTTGTGTACGTGGACTCGAAGGCCAACACTGCTGATATATTCACCAAGGCGCTTCCGCCTAGTGATCATCAGCGGCACTGCACTGCGTTAGGCCTTGTGTCCACGTTCTCTCACTTGCTTACTTCTTGACTTTGTTTGTACTGTGATCTATATATATCTCCTTGCATGCTTGCACTTGCTAGGCTTTGATTAGTGTACTACTTGTGTTTTTCTATATAAATCTGCATGTGAACTGGCCTTGTGGCCTTTGTTTATGCTCAGAAAGTGTGGTGACGTTGTGATCCACCCTGAGCTTGTTCTTTGCTTTGCTTGACTGGTCTTGTGACCCCTTGCTCTCCCCCACTTTGCCTATGGGGGTGTGTCAAAGCATGAATGTGCTATATGTTGGTAGGCTGTAGTGGGGTAGCCAATATGGGGTACAACCCTTTTAGGGTTTCTATTTTGTACCAAACTCATCCATAGTTCATTCATTCCTGTCTCTAGTTTCTAACAACTACTGGCCGGAGCTGTTGACCGACGTGAAGTAGCACGTGGGCTCGTGTCCCACGTGTCAGGCGCTGAAGAGCTCGAGGAAGCGAAAGACGGGTCAGTTGCAGCCGATACCACCGCCCGAGCGCGCCTGGCAGCAGGTTACCATGGATTTCGTCACAGGGTTACCTTCGAACCCTGGGGGTAACGACGCGGTAATGGTCGTCGTTGACAGGTTGACGAAGATGGCACACTTCGCTGCGTGCAAAAAGTCGATCTCAGCCGAGGAGACCGCTCGCCTGTTCATCGCAGCCGTCGTCCGTCTGCACGGGATACCAACAGCGATCATCAGGGAGAGGGACACGAAGTTCACCAGCAACTTTTGGAAGAACCTCTGGGAGCAGTTTGGGACCAGGCTACAGTTCAGCTCGTCGTACCACCCCGAGACCGACGGTCAAACGGAGCGGACGAATCAGACGATGGAGCAGTTGATTCGTGCCACGTGCGACGATCCGACGACTTGGGAGCAGCAGCTGCCGCTGATCGAGTTCGCGTACAACAACGCCACGTCAGCGACGACGCAGCAGTCCCCGTTTTACCTGAACTACGGGCAGAATCCAACCATGCCCATGACGCTGAGTCCGGACAACCCCACGCCACGTGCACAGCAATTCGCCGAAATCTTGCAAGCTGCCTGAACCAGAGCCGCAAAAGCCATTAAAAAGGCAAACGTCATCGCTAAGCCCAACGCTGACCGCCACCGCCGCCCCGTCACGTACCAGTCAGGAGATTACGTACTACTCGACACGCAAAACCTACGACTGCCCGACGTACCAAAACTTTGACCCCGCTACTGTGGCCCATTCCAAATAAGTCACATGATCACCCCCATAGCCGCGCATCTCCTGTTACCCACCGACTGGTATATCAGCCCATCATTCCACGTCAGCCTGCTTCGCCCATACATCCCAACCACGAGCCAACTACCTCGTCATCGCCCGCCTTCCATGATTCGCCCTGCATCGGAACCGCTCATCGAGCCCGACCGAATCCTGAGCCATCGGATCCGCCACCCCACATGCATCAAGCGGATCGAATTCCTCGTTCGCTGGAAGGACCGCACGCCAACTGAGGATAGCTGGGTGCCCCTGGCCAACATCGAAAACCACCCTGCCCTGCAAGTGTACCTGAGGAGCCGGGGATTCCGCGATATACACGCACTCGCGTAGCGGAGGGGGCTTCTTGAGGGGGGGGGGGGGGAGGGGGGTAGTGTAAGGAATTTTTTCGCCATTCCTTACGGAGTCCGGCTACATCGCGTACAGCACCAGCCGTTGTTCGCCCGTTACAGCTAACAGAGCTTCGCCGCCTTTGCGCGCACTGTTTAGCCAAACCTCGCACTGCTGGCCCGGCCGTGTCGGCCTACGCTTCGGGGCTCGCCCGAACCTCGCTGCCAGCATCGCACTAGCTAGCTCGCACGCACCGCGTTACTGTTTGCATGTTTCGCGTATAAATGTTCGCTCATGCCTCACATTTTGCACTCGTTACAAGGATGAAAGAAAACAGACTCCGGCTAGAGCCGATACATTGGCAAGTTTAGTGGGCGAGTGCAATGGATCAGGCTCTCACTTCCGCCTGATGCTTCGCACACAATTTTTGAACTTGCAGCGTCGCAGGAGCTGCCATCGTGCCATTGGGATTGGTGAGGTCGCATCACCACCGACATTCTGGTTTCACTTTCTCGCTGGCGACTAAAAGCACAAGGAGGTGGTGAGGAGGCAAGCTCCAAGCAACCAATTGCTGGCGAGATTCGCGTCGTTCTTGCCGACAACTCACTTTTTTCCCGTCGCATCAACCCCCCTCGTCAAAAGGTTGTGCCGATGGGCGACGATGCGGAAGCGTCGAAGAAACTCTCAGCGTCGTGCGAGGAAAACGCCAGCCTGTGCGACCCTGGCCAGGGAAGATGGGAAGGGGAGTCCCGTGACCCGTCCGTGGGGGGTGGGGATTTGGGTTGATGGCTCACAATTGCGCGTTGCTGACGATGACAACTCATCACGAGTCACTCGACGAAACGGATGGGTGGAACCAGTTTTTGTTCGATTCATTTGGTTTTAGCTGGGTCAAATTGGGAAATGTTTGGAGGAAATGGGAAGCAACCAAGTGTATGTGGGAACTTGGGAAGGAGCATATGCATGGAATGGATGGAAGACGCGGCTTGACTGCTGCCGAGAAAAGTCCGTGGCGAGCCAGGCGACGCGGTCGAGGCAGCTCGCACGCATAAGTATGATGCTTGCTGAGTTGTGAGCCTATTCAGTATTGACAGCAGCGCTAGCTCGCTTGCTCCTTAGTTTTGGATTGCTCATTCACTCGAGTGAGTCGACGACTTGAAGAAGCACGCACGGTCCAAATTGCTCTCTCGATTTAGCCCCGTTTTTCTTACCTCACACCAGCGCCCACCCTCTTATCGCCTAGACTTCTGACCCAATCTTTTAAAACTTAATAGTTCCTGTCTGGCTATCCTCACCATTCTACTATCCTCTGCCTGTTTGGCTACTTGAACGAGCATGGGTCTCTTTAGCGGTTTCGTATCCCGGTCCTCAGGCTACCATCCAGCGTCCATTCTTGAGCACGAGTTCGATTTCTCGGGCGCCATAGGCCAGGGGCAGTTCGGCACGGTGTGGCACTGCTCGTCGCGCGCGACGAACCAACCCTTCGCGTGCAAGCAGATTTGCAAGTCGCAATTCTTGTCGCACAGCGACCACATGCGACAGGTGTCGCGCGAAATCGAGGCGATGCAGAAGTTACAGGGCCACGCGAACGTTGTCGATCTGCACAGCGTCTACGAGAACGACGCCTTTATCTTCCTCCTCATGGAACTCTGCCCCGACGGCGACCTTTTTAAACTCATCTCCGAGCGAAACGGGCTGCCGGAGACCGAGGCGCGCTACGTTTTTAAGAGGGTCGCTCTCGCCGTGCAGCACTGCCACCGAAACGGAATCGTCCATCGCGACATCAAGCCCGAAAACATCCTCCTCCGCGATCCGTCCCCCCCATCCGATGAGACATCCACCGCCCACCCATCCCTGGACGGGCCGATTTGTCCTCTTCCGCACGCTCACGACACCGGTTCTTCCGCGGCGCTCGCCTGTGGCTGCGCGCCGAGCCGCGAGTGGGAAGTGAAGCTCGCCGATTTCGGCCTGTCGAGGAGTCTCGACAAGGGGTCCCGCGTGCGAGGCCGCGTCGGGAGTTACCCGTACGAGGCTCCCGAGGTGGTCGCATCTGAACCGTACGATTGGTCTGCTGACGTGTGGAGTCTCGGGGTGTTGTTGTACACTATGCTTGCTGCCAGCTGGCCGGAATTTAAGGACGGACGGCGCGCGTTGAATGAAGACGTTGACTGGTCGAGCCCGAGTTGGCGATTGGTCAGCGACGCGGCGAAGAGCCTGATTCGTCGCATGATGACGGTGAAGCCCTGCGAGCGACCCACAATCGACGAGGTCTTGTGCGACGCGTGGCTATGCGACGAGTCGTGCGTGAACGTACTCTGCCCCGCGGCGTGCGACGGTTTGCTTGAGCAAAATGCACAGAATACATGCGACGACGTGAAGGACGTCGCACAGCAGTGTTTGAAGGAATTTATGGCGGTTCGCTCAAGCCCGTCGTTGTCCACGTGGCTTTCAGCCAGCCTGACATCAGCGCCGTCACTGTCATTGTCTCTATCCTCCTCCTCCGTTTCTTCAGGCAAGCAGGTTCCGTTCTGTGAGAGCCTCAGCAGCGACAGCAGCAGCAGCAACAGCAGCCGCGGCAGTGACGGAAGTTGCAGCGAGAGCAACGGAAACACTGGCAGGGGAAAGGGTACACACAATGTGCGTCGGCGTTGGGGTAAGGCAGCTGAATGGGGATTCGGTGTGCAAAGCAGCAGCAGCGATGACCAGGAGCAAGTAGAGTTGAACCCGCTAGCACAGGAGGAAGCGGTAAGGAGAAGAGACTGCTGCGAGCAGGAGGAAAGTACATGCCGCGAGTGTGGTGGAAGGGACAGTGGCAGCAGCTCTGACTGGTGGCAGAGATCCAGGCTGGCTGCTGTGGCGGCATGGGCTGTGAAAAACGTGTGGGGAACCGCACCAGCCGTTGCCTGCTAGGTAGCAGGTGGTGCCTGTGATCTACATCAGCTTTGCAGTTTTGGCTCACCGGCGTACCCAATAACGGCTGCATCCTCCAGGGACAGAGAACACTGATATGCTAGCTGTCTATTAGTGGAAATGCTACAACTTTAGGCCCATGGAATTGGGGCTCCTGTATAGTCTGATGCATGTAGCTCGGCATCTAGAGCAGACAGAGCAGCAAGTCTCAGAACTGTGCACACTTGCAGTGGCAGTTCTGTGACTTACTGCTGCACACCAATGTTGACATAGATTTTGTGCTCAGTACCGGTAATGTGTATTATAATTGGCAACTGTAGGGTTGGATCCATCTATTCATTAGTTTGTTGTAAATTATATCTGCAGTATTCAACCTCTCGCTTGCATCTTGCTCACATCAATTTGCCCCTTTCAGACAAGGTCTCCCTGGTTCATGTTTAGTGGCTCCAAATGCCATGAGTTAGAGCTCACGACCGCGTTGCAGTCTACCTTGAATTAGATGCCTGAGTAGTACTGGGTTTCATCACATTACCAGCAATCAATCAGTGCAGTCTCCAAATCCCTGCTCGCTCTTACCTACATTCTCGCTTTTGCACAGAGAACTAGTGGAATTACGCTCATTATCTGGAAACTATTTGCTGCTCAAATCCCTCTCGGCTGTCGCACATCCCAAACGGATTCAGTATTCTCGTCAACGCTCCCACGTCAATTTATGTAGATGACAGCCACGCGATGGCGTCAATTGCTGTCGAAGTTACGAAGACCTTCGAAGCTTTCAAGTTCATCGCCAGCCTACCGAGCGTGAAGAACTACAAGGATGGAGTTTTAGTGGAAGAAGGCACGAACCTGCTGACCATCAGCAACGAGCGGTCCTGTGAAGCTAAACAAGACACGGAGAATCACCGCGTGGGGCGGAGCACTGAGAAGTTTCTGAACCATTTTTGGCTTCCTGACAACGTGGAAGTCGATAAGAGCGCTGCGTGCACTGAGACCGGCGTGCTCGCAGTGATGGATTCCTAGTTCAAGCCGTTAGATCTGAAAAAAGAGGCTGTGGTAGATACTCACTGAATAGTTACGTGATACGGCCCGACTTAGCTGTTTTTGTTGGATGCTAGCTTGGTACAGAGTACTGTCCTGGGGCGCTACATTGGTAGTACACGTACAAGCTGTGGCGTAAGGTGGTCACGCCTCCTAGTCCTTCGCCATAGATCTTTCTTGTCAGACCACCATGATCTTCCCGCCAATCCTGACATGTCTCGATCCTGGATCCAGGGAACAACATGACTGGTGGAATCACGAAATCAGGGCTTGGTCACCGATATTCGCGACCGACAACACGTCGAGAAAACGAAGCAAAACGATCGAAGAGGAAACTCTGGGAATACCAGCCTTCCCACAGGTGAAGCACTACAGTTGACCGAAATGCCATTTCCTTACAGGAGACGAATGTGGTAACGATTCTTTTTTTCTCGATCAGCTCGCATGCACACATTGCCTTCGCACCGCCACACAACCCACCGACAGACCATATTCGCCCATTTTCTATGTCCCTCGTTTTCCAGACCCTGCTCTCAGATTCCTTCGAAAACCCGTGGGTCAAGAAGGCCAAATTTGGTTCATACTTCCTAAGGTTGGTTGGGTGTTACCAGGTTTCCAACTGAGCCTTGTTTGACTGCACACAAACCTTGTCGCCAGCAAACACCAAACGAAACCACTGTAGCAGCGACAGCAATCAGTTGGGTTTCATCGCACAATTTGATCGCCCAACTCCAACCTGAGGAGACATGTGAAGCCAGGGGAGAGAAACTTGTCCCAAATTGGCCGAGCAGATTCCCGAGTTATAAGACTCCCAGCTAGACGCCATCAACCAGCCTAGTAGCCGTTCTACCGCGTTGCACGCGCGCGCGATCTTTGATATTCGACAGGTAGGCATGTGTAACCGCCAGAGCGTGGCACATTGCCGGGTAATACGAAAGGAATTGACAACATTAGTCATTCGCGTTCATGCCTAGGCTGGTGCAATAGGAAGTCAACGTGTGCTGCCCTTCTAAACGCCTAAGGCGTCAGGGGATCGAAAGACGTAACACGATGTCCCCCGCCTTCAATGGGGACATCCCGAAACGTATTTAGGGTTCAAACGGACTCGTGGGAAGCGTCACAAGCGCATTCGCCTCTCCGCACACGCGCATTCGCCTCTCCGCACACGCGCATTCGCCTCCCTGCACACGCGCATTCGCCTCTCCGCACACACGCCGTCGCTGTTAGGGTTAGTGCATTCGGATGACCGGGACGTATTGACCGGGACGCCCTGCCGCGATCCCCCACTTCCCCTTGTCCAATCCCCCGCTCCCACCCGTCCAATCCCCCACTTCCCCCCGTCCAATCCCCCACTTCCCCTTGTCCAATCCCCCACTTCCCCCCGTCCAATCCCCCACTTCCCCTCGTCCAATCCCCCACTCCCACCCGTCCAATCCCCCACTCCCACCCGTCCAATCCCCCACTTATCCACGTCCAATCCCGCACTCCCTCCCGTCCAATCCCCCACTTCCCCCTGTCCAATCCCCCACTCCCACCCGTCCAATCCCCCTTTTACCCCCCGTCCAATCCCCTACTCCCTCCCGTCCAATCCCCCACTTCCCCTTGTCCAATCCCCCACTTCCCCCCGTCCAATCCCCCACTTCCCCTCGTCCAATCCCCCACTCCCACCCGTCCAATCCCCCACTTCCACCCGTCCAATCCCCCACTCCCACCCGTCCAATCCCCCACTTCCACCCGTCCAATCCCCCACTCCCACCCGTCCAATCCCCCACTCCCACCCGTCCAATCCCCCACTTCTCCCCGTCCAATCCCCCACTCCCCCTCGTCCAATCCCCCACTCCCACCCGTCCAATCCCCCACTTCCCCTTGTCCAATCCCCCACTTCCCCTTGTCCAATCCCCCACTTCCACTCGTCCAATCCCCCACTTCTCCCCGTCCAATCCCCCACTCCCCCTCGTCCAATCCCCCACTCCCACCCGTCCAATCCCCCACTTACCCCCTGTCCAATCCCCCACTCCCACCCGTCCAATTCCCCACTTACCCCCTGTCCAATCCCCCACTCCCACCCGTCCAATTCCCCACTTACCCCTGTCCAATCCCCCACTCCCACCCATCCAATCCCCCACTTCTCCTCGTCCAATCCCCCACTCCCCCTCGTCCAATCCCCCACTCCCACCCGTCCAATCCCCCACTTCCCCTTGTCAATCCCCCACTTCCACTCGTCCAATCCCCCACTCCCACCCGTCCAATCCCCCACTTCCACCCGTCCAATCCCCCACTCCCACCCGTCCAATTCCCCACTTCCCCTGTCCACTTCCATGTCCTGTCCAATGCCTGCACGCATGGCAGGTGGCGCTGCGGAAGTGGATCATAGTGCTGGGCGCACATCCGGGGCAGCGCGTGGCGAAGGGGGGAAGCAAGGAGCGCAGTGCTGCAGGGGGACCTCCAGGGGAGCGGGGGAGGCGGGGCAGGGGAGGCGGGGGTTAGGGAGAGAGGGTGCAGAAATCCTCCTATTTCTCGTTCCACCCTTATACCCCTACCACACTTATACCTCCTGCCCTCCTCCCTTACTCCGTTCCTTTGTTCCCCCACAGTCACCTTCCCTCCCTTCCCCTTGTACCTAGCCACGTTTTTTCCTCCTTCGTTCATCCCTCCGTGCATTCCTTGTTCCCTACCGTCATTGCCCTTCCATTGCCGTTGTTTCGTATCCGTCCCCGATGCTTCAACTTTGACACATTCGAGTTCGCAGTTCGTGTTTGTGCAGGTCTGCCATGCATCCAGTTGTGATGTGTTATTTGTTTGATGATAGTGGTACTGAGTGACAAATATGGTAGCTATTATGGTAGATGCTTCTTATAATTGACAACTTTGTTATTTGGGGAAGAAATGCATATGACCATCACAAGGAAGTGCAACAAAGCAACATAGATTTCCATTGAAGATGCCAAGAGTGGACTATAGGCACATGCACGAAGTTAAGAGGAGGTAACTATTCAACCCACTCCTGTCAGGCCACGACCCATGATGGTGGGCACACGTACAAGCATGGTTCTGTAATGGAATGGGGAGTGAAGAGGGGATATGGCAGAATAAGCAAGGGGTGGAGGTGGAGGTAATGAAGGGCATGTCCGGGAGGAGTGGACAACGCAGAGGGGTGAGCAAAGGGGGAAGAGAGTGAGCAGGGTAGAGAAGGGGGTGATCAAAGGAAGAAGCAAGTAAGCGAGGGCAAAGGAGGGGTTTGAACATGGGAAATGAGAGCACTTGGGGGTGGAAAATGAACGGAAGCGTGAACGGCAATGCAAGGAAAGAGAAATGAACAGAAAGGAAGAGAAGGGAAGGACAGGGTTAGCAAGTGAAGGGACTGCAAGGGATAGGAAGGGAAGTGTGTCAAACATTGTATGTTTATATTGTGTAGGCTATAGTGGGTTTAGCCTTAGAGGGTACACAAACTTAGGGTTTCCTACTTGTACCCAACTTCCTGCTAGTTCATTCATTCTCGTTCTATTCTAAGATTCTAACATGGTATCAGAGCCCTAGGTTGCTACCTAGGACCGCTTTCTCCAATGGGCCCACTATTCCGCTAGAAGCGCCCTCGTGCGCCCTACCCTACGTGCGCCCTCGTGCGCCTTTCTCTGCTAGTGCGCCTTCGTGCGCCCTCGTGCGCCCTCGTGCGCCTTCGTGCGCCCTCGTACGCCCTCGTACGCCCTCGTGCGCCCTTGTGCGCCCTCGAGCCGCCCCTGCAGGTCCGTCAGGCCCCCGAGCCGCCTCTGCAGACCCGTCAGGCCCCCCCCGAGCCGCCTCTGCAGGCCCGTCACGCCCGAGAGCCGCCCCTGCAGACTCGTCAGGCCCGCGCACAGCCTCTGCCCGACCGCGCGCCGCCTCTGCAGGCTCTCGCCGCCCACCGCGTCGCCCTGTCCGCGGCGTCGTCGTCGCCTGCCCGCGGCGTCGTCGCCTGCCCGCGGCGTCGTCGCCTGCCCGCGACGCAGCCCCTGCCCGCGGCGTCGTCGCCTGCCCGCGACGCAGCCCCTGCCCGCGGCGTCGTCGCCTGCCCACGGCGTCGTCGCCTGCCCGCGGCGTCGTCGCCTGCCCGCGGCGTCGTCGCCTGCCCGCGGCGTCGTCGCCTGCCCGCGGCGTCGCCGCCTGCCCGCTGCGTCGCCACCTGCTCGCCGCGTCGTCCTGCCCGCGGCGTCGCCACCTGCCCGTGGAGCCGCCCCTGGAGCCGCCCGCCACTGCGGTTGCAGCCCCTGGAGCCGCCCGCCACTGCAGCAGCAGCCCCTGGAGCCGCCCGCCACTGCAGCAGCAGCCCCTGGAGCCGCCCGCCACTGCAGCAGCAGCCCCTGGAGCCGCCCGCCACTGCAGCAGCCGCCCCTGGAGCCGCCCGCCACTGTAGCAGCCGCCCCTGGAGCCGCCCGCAACTGCAGCAGCAGCCCCTGGAGCCGCCCGCCACTGCAGCAGCAGCCCCTGGAGCCGCCCGCCACTGCAGCGGCCGCCCCTGGAGCCGCCCGCCACTGCAGCAGCCGCCCCTGGAGCCGCCCGCCACTGTAGCAGCCGCCCCTGGAGCCGCCCGCCACTGCAGCAGCCGCCCCTGGAGCAGCCCGCACCTGCAGCAGCCGCCCCTGGAGCAGCCTGCACCTGCAGCAGCCGCCCCTGGAGCAGCCCGCACCTGCAGCAGCCGCCCCAGGCACCTGGAGCAACTGCCGTCGCGGCCCGGCCTCGCCCTGCAGCAGCTGCCGCGGAGCTCCCTGCTGCGGCCTGGCCCCGCCCTGCAGTTGTAGCGGCCCCGCGGTCGCCACCGTCTTGCGCCTGCCACGCCGACCACTGGTGAGCATTGCCCTGCCCGCACTGCTACTGCTGCTACTGCCTTTTCTACTCCCACTGGTACTGCTCCTGCTGTTACTGCTGTTACTGCCGCTACTGCTGCTACTGCTGCTCCTGGCGAGGCCAGATGCAGCTCCAGGGCCGTGCGCGTGAGTCCCTCACGCCCCAGCAGCTTCGTGAGTGGTACGCTAGTTGGGGCTGTCGGGGTGACCGTAGTGGTAGTCGCTCTGGAGTGGGTCGGTCGGGAGCTTCTGGTAGTGGACAGGTGCAGCTGCAGTGTCCTCTTTCACCCCAGCAGCTTCGTGAGTGGTACGCCAGTTGGGGCTGTCGGGGTGGCCGTAGTGGTAGTCGCTCTGGAGTGGGTCGGTCGGGAGCTTCTGGTAGTGGACAGGTGCAGCTGCAGTGTCCTCTTTCACCCCAGCAGCTTCGTGAGTGGTACGCCAGTTGGGGCTGTCGGGGTGGCCGTAGTGGTAGTCGCTCTGGAGTGGGTCGGTCGGGAGCTTCTGGTGATGGACAGGTGCAGCTGCCGTGTCCTGTGAGTGAGGCTGCCGCTCTAGGTGCTAGTGCAGCTGCTACCCCAGGTGCCGGTGAGGCTGCTGCTCTAGGTGCTAGTGAGTCTGCGCCCCCTGGTACTGAGTCGACTGAGGCACTGCACACCTTCACACTGGACTCCGGTGCTTCTCGCTGTTTCTTTCGTGACCGCACTGCCCTTGAGCCGCTTGCTCGGCCAGTTGCTGTCTCCCTCGCTGACCCCTCTGGGGGTCCGGTCATTGCGACCTCCTCCACTGTCCTTCCTTGTCCTGCGGTCCCGTCGGGCACACTGTCCGGTCTCCACCTCCCCTCGTTCTCTACGAACTTGGTGGTGGGTGTGCGCTCCAGGACGCGGGTGTTCACCAGTTCACCCCGGCCTACGAGCGCGTGACGCACTGCACGTGTGCCCGTACGGGCCGCCACTTGGCTACCTTCACTCGGCAGCCGGGGTCGGACCTGTACACACTGACCACTGAGTCCCCTCAGGTAGCGGTCGCTGCGTCTGCGTCTGCGTCTGCGTCAGGTCAGCTGTCAGCCCCCTGCTCGTGTCGCTCTCTGGCGCACGAGACTGTCCTCTGGCACCACCGCCTTGGCCACCCGTCTGTGCAGCGCCTTCGGGCCATGCACTCCAGGTACCTTGTCTCTTCCCAGGGTCCTCCCTCCTCTCCCTCCCTCGCCTGCTCCTCCCTGTCTTCCCTGTGTCGAGGGGCAGCAGCGCGCCGCTCCTCACTCCTCCTCTTTTCCCCCGACGACTGCTCCCTTGCAGACGCTCCACATGGACGTGTGGGGCCCAGCCCGCGTCCGTGGTCAGGGTCAGGAGAGGTACTTCCTGATAGTTGTTGACGACTACTCGCGCTACACCACGGTCTTCCCCTTGCGCACCAAGGGTGAAGTCCCTGATGTTTTGATCCCTTGGATCCGCAGAGCTCGTCTCCAGCTCAGCGAGCGTTTCCACTCGGACTTTCCTGTCCTGCGCTTGCACTCTGACAGAGGTGGTGAGTTCTCCTCCCACCTCCTGGCAGCCTACTGTGCTGAGCACGGCATTGAGCAATCGTTCACGCTTCCGGCCTCTCCACAGCAGAATGGGGTTGCGGAGCGTCGCATTGGCCTAGTCATGGAGGTCGCCCGTACCTCCTTGATCCATGCGGCTGCCCCCCATTTCCTGTGGCCGTTTGCAGTCCGGTACGCTGCGCATCAGCTCAACCTCTGGCCCCGTGTCTCCATGCCGGAGACCTCGCCCACGCTGCGGTGGACAGGGGAGGTTGGCGATGCGTCGCGTTTCCGGGTCTGGGGATCTCGAGCTTTTGTCCGCGACGCTTCCGCGGACAAGCTCTCCACCCGCACTTTTCCCTGTGTCTTCCTTGGCTTTGTCACTGACGCGCCTGGTTGGCAGTTTTACCACGCCACCTCGCGCCGGGTCCTTGCCTCTCAGGACGTCACTTTTGACGAGTCCGTCCCCTACTACCGCCTCTTCCCCTACCGCACTGCCCCACTCCCCCCCCCGCCTCTCTTCCTCGCACCAGGTGCTGCTGTGGTAGACCCCCTCCCCCCTCAGGGTGCCGCTCCCTCAGGTGTGTCCCAGGTAGACCCGGTTGACCCTGTTGAGGTAGCTGTTGACTCTCGTCCTGCTGGGGGTGCGGAGCCTGGGGGTGCTGAGCCTGGGGGTGCTGAGCCTGGAGGTGCGGAGCCTGCGGTTGCGGAGCCTGGGGGTGCGGAGTCTGGGGGTACTGAGCCTGGACGTACTGAGCCTGGGGGTGCTGTGCCTGGGGGTGCTGAGCTGCAGAGTTCTGGGTCTGGGAGTGCTGAGTCTGGGGGTGCTGAGCCTGGGAGTCCTGCGCCTGGGGGAGCTCTCTCCTCGGAGCGGCTGCGTGAGTGGTACTCAGAGTACTGCAGCCTCCGGAGAGGTGCCTCTGGGACCAGGAGTGCTGCTGCGACTGGTGCTGGTGCCTCCCCTCCTCAGCGGGAGCTGCCCTCTCTTGAGCGGATCCGCGAGTGGTACGAGCGGCGCTGCACTCTCCGGAGTGGAGCGCCTGGTGTCGCGGACCCTGGTGCTGGAGGTGCTGCTGCTGCTGCTGGAGGCCCTACTGGTACTGCGGACCCTGGAGCTGGAGCCTCATCTCGTGTCCATGCTAGTTGCCCCTGAGGGAGACCCGGATGCACCAGACATCCCGACCCCGCGCTCTTACGCAGAGGCGATAGCGGGTCCCTACTCCTCTCAGTGGCAGACAGCCATGGACGCAGAGATGGCTTCCTGGAAGTCCACAGGCACCTACGTCGACGAGGTTCCCCCACCTGGGGCGAACATCGTCAGTGGCATGTGGATTTTCAGGGTGAAGCGGCCGCCGGGTTCTCCGCCTGTCTTCAAGGCGCGTTACGTTGCTCGAGGCTTCAGCCAGCGTGAGGGAGTCGACTTCTTCCAGACCTTCTCCCCCACCCCGAAGATGACCACTCTTCGGGTGCTGCTGCACATAGCCGCTCACCGTGACTACGAGCTTCACTCTCTTGACTTCAGCACTGCTTTCTTGCAGGGTAGTCTGCACGAGGAGATCTGGCTGCGCCGCCCTCCTGGCTTCACTGGGTCGTTTCCTCCTGGTACCCAGTGGAGCCTCCGCCGGCCGGTCTACGGTCTCCGCCAGGCACCACGTGAGTGGCACGACACACTGAGGACGACACTTGCGGCACTTGGGTTCGCACCTTCTACTGCTGACCCGTCGCTGTTTCTGCGCACAGACACTTCGTTGCCGCCGTTCTACATCCTCGTGTACGTCGACGACTTGGTCTTTGCCACTGTTGACACTGAGGCTCTCGCCCACGTGAAGTCGGAGCTGCAGAAGAGACACACGTGCACAGACCTGGGTGAACTGACAAGCTACCTTGGCTTGCGGATCACCCGGGACAGAGCACGGCGCACCATTACCTTGACTCAGTCACACATGGTGCAGCAGGTCCTTCAGCGCTTCGGCTTCACGTACTCCTCACCTCAGTCCACTCCTCTGCCTACCGGTCACTCGCTCTCAGCTCTGCCTTCGGATGAGTCCGTAGAGCCGAGTGGCCCGTATCCAGAGCTTGTGGGCTGCCTCATGTACCTGATGACCTGCACTCGTCCTGACCTTGCATACCCTCTTAGCATCCTTGCACGCTATGTCGCTCCTGGCCGTCACCGGAAGGAGCACATGGATGCCGCTAAGAGGGTGTTGCGCTACTTGTGCAGTACGTCGGGCATGGGGCTAGTGCTTGGAGGGCGAGACCGAGTTGTTCTCACAGGGCACTCAGACGCTTCTTGGGCGGACGACCAGGCCACTCAGCGGTCGTCTCAGGGTTACACCTTCAGCCTTGGCTCCGGTTCAGTTTCTTGGCGTTCTACACGTTCTTCTTCAGTTCTCAGCTCCAGTTGTGAGGCTGAGATCTACGCCACAGCCATGGCGGCCCAGGAGCTACGCTGGCTCACCTACCTGCTGACCGACTTGGGAGAGCGGCCTCGTTCTCCTCCAGTGCTGTACGTCGACAACAAGGCTGTCATTGCCTTGTGTGAGGAGCACAGACTGGAGCACAGAACGAAGCACATCGCTCTCCGCTACTTTCTGGCTCGTGAGCTGCAGCAGCGTGGTCAGCTTTGTCTGCGTTACGTGGCCACTGAGGCCAACACTGCTGACGTGTTCACCAAGGCGCTTCAGCCTTGTGACCATCAGCGCTTTTGTACTCTTCTAGGCCTTGTGCCTACTGGACCTCACTTGCTTACTTCGTGACTTTGTTTGTACTGTGATCTCTATATATATACCTGCATGCTTTCACTTGCTAGGTTGTGATCACTGTACCTCTTGTTATATTATGAAACTGCATGTGAACTGGTCTTGTGACCACTTACTTGTGCTCGGAATTTGTGTGGTATCCTTGAGATCCACCCTGAGCTTGTTTTGCCTTGCTTTGCTTTGACTGGTCTTGTGACCCTCTGGTTGTCCCCCACTTCGCCTATGGGGGTGTGTCAAACATTGTATGTTTATATTGTGTAGGCTATAGTGGGTTTAGCCTTAGAGGGTACACAAACTTAGGGTTTCCTACTTGTACCCAACTTCCTGCTAGTTCATTCATTCTCGTTCTATTCTAAGATTCTAACAAAGTGAGGGGAAGTGAAGGGAAAGGAAGGGAAGAGACGGGAATGGTCAGGGCGTATTAATGAGAATGGAAATGAGGGAGGTAAGGGAGGGGAATCGTGGCGCGAGGAAAGGGGATGGCAGCGTGTGGGGAAGGGGATGGCAGCGTGTGGGGAAGGGGATAGCAGCGTGTGGGGAAGGGGATAGCATGATTCGGGGGGAAGAGCATGACCAGGGGAGACAGAGTGAACCGGAAAGATCAAGGTGTGTGAGGGTGATATTGCTGCTTGTAACCATTTCAGCTCGCAGGGCGGGGTGTGAGGGCCTGGAGGAGTGGAGTGCGGTTGAGGGTGGTGAGGTGCGGAGGAGGAGGAAGTGTGGCACCGCACGAGTGGGAGAGGTCGAGGTGGGTGAGTATGGCTAGGGAGGTGGCTAGGGAAGAGGGATGAGGGAGGAGCGATTGAGGCACCAGAGAGAACGGAAAGAGTGAGGGGCGAGGATGAAGAGGAGGAGGAGTGAGAAGAGGAAGGAGATGAGGCGGAGGGAGAGGACGGGTGGTGGGAGATGGCAGTCCAGGCGGAGTTGACGGAACAGAGACTGCAGAGAAGGGGGGGAGGAGGGGGTGGAACAGAGATGGTGGGAGTGGGATAAAGGGGAGGATCGGTGCAGGAGGCGTTAGCGCAAGTGAATCAGGGATGGGAGAATGCGTAGGGTAGCTAGGAGAAGGGAGGACGGCAAAGGGTAGCACAGTGAAGGTAAGGCCCTTACCGTAGGGGGAGGACTAGCGAAGGAGAATAGAGGGGTTAAAGTGGGGGAAGGGGAGGACTGGGGTGGGGGAGAAGGGAAGGGTATGGGGGTAATGGGAACTGAACCGAGTAGGGAAAGGAGGAGGCGTATTTGAGGGAGAGCAAATGGGGGGTTGAAGGCAAGGGAAGGGAACGGAATGGTGGCAAGCGAAGGGGACGAATAGGGGAGAACGTATGGCAGAATGAGCAAGGGGTGAGGTGGAGGTAAAGAAGGCCATGCATGGGAGGAGTGGACGAGACAGAGGGGCTAGCAAAAGGGGAGGCGTGGGGGATCGGGTTGGCACATCGGGGAGGAAGGATCAGCGTAGGGGAAAGGGAGGGTGGTAATGGGGGGAGAGGAGGGTGTGAGTGGGGGAAAGGGAGGAGTCCCGTAGGGGAGACCTCGAGCTGGCGTGGGGGAGATTGAAGGGTGGCACGGGGGAAGGGAGGATTAGCGTGGGGGAAAGGGAGGATCAGCATGGGGTATAGGGAGGATCAGCGTGAGGGAAAGGGAGGAAGAGCGTGATGGAAAGGAATGCTTATGTGGGGGAAAAGGGCGAGGGAGAGTGGGGGAAATGACGGGGGGGAGTGGGGGAAAGGACCTCCTCGTTGGGGGAATGGACGGGTGCGAGTGGGGGAAAGGGCGGGGGGAGTGGGGGAAAGGACGCATGGGGAGTGAGGGATTGGGCGGGTGGTAGTGAGGGAGAGGGCGGATAAGCGTGGAGAAATGGCGGGTTGGCGTCGGGTGCACGGAGGGGTATCGTCGGGGCAGGAAGCGTTAGCGCAAGTGAACAACAAATCGAGGAAGAGGTTGTGGGGGAGAGACAGGGAAGAGAATGAGCAGGGGAGACAGACAGAGAGAGCCGGGGGGTAGCGTAGGAGCTGGGGAATTATGGTAAACGCTACTCGCGGGGTAATCGGTAGGATTCGCAGCTTGCCAGGTGACGCACGTACGGGCATTGCCGACTCGTGCAATGTGTCGCCCCTAATCCGCTGCGATAGGTTATGATGCGGTCGAGGAGCCCTATATACGCTATCACTATTCCCCACTGTCTGCTTTGACGGATAGGGCTTAGCCCTTGCGCGGGGCTCTATTTCGTAGCTAGTTGTAGTCGGCGTAGTTTCCGTTATTACAATGCAGTGACGGGGTGTTGGGAAGTGGGGTTGTCAGTCAGCTTGCTGTGAGGTGTCGCTTCAGGCTATGTGCGACTGATGTGTGCGTAAAGTACATGTCGCAGGTAAACCCTGGTAACATTGGCGACCTGCGCAAGTTCACAAACATTCCACAACAATCTCGACACCCCCAACGTTCGCGGGCCAATCACATTTTCACTCCCAACCAACCTTCCTAAGGTTGAACTTCTTGGCCTGCGGGTTGAACTTCTTGGCCTTTTCACCGATATTCGCGACCGAGAACACGTCGAGAAAACGAAGCAAAACGATCGAAGAGGAAACTCTGGGAATACCAGCCTTCCCACAGGTGAAGCACTGCAGTTGACCGAAATGCCATTTCCTTACAGGAGACGAATGTGGTAACGATTCTTTTTTTATCGATCAGCTCGCATGCACACATTGCCTTCGCACCGCCACACAACCCACCGACAGACCTATTCGCCCATTTTCTATGACCCTCGTTTTCCAGACCGCGCTCTCAGATTCCTTCGAAGCAGTCCTAATAAGCATCCTCTCTCACTCGCACTAGTTCTAGGATCTTTGGTAGCGCCGCTCAGGCCATTTCCCTCTCTCGCTGAACTTCCGCGACGTCGAGCTCGCAGCTTTGGACCAGATCAAAGCTCGCCGCGCACGATTCCCCGTCTAACTTGAGTCCCTTGCGTTGTGAATCGCGCGAGTCCCAAGTTTATCTCCCAGCTCCGGTGGTAGAGAGCACTGGGATCTATCGTAGAGTTGGAATCTGCACGATCCACACGATGGCATCCGCCACGTCAGCGCTCCACCTCTCCCCCGTTGCCACCGCCGCGCATCTACGTCCCGTCCCTTCTTCCTCCGCCTTCCCCGCCTCCGCTTCCCCAGCTCCGCCGCCTCCCTCTGCTCCCGCCCAGTCCTTCCTGTCCGTTTCCGCCACAGCAGCTGTCGCCTGGCTACGATAGTGCATTCAACGAAGGGGCTTGTATCGAAGAATCGCACGCGAACGTCGTTCCGGTGCGAGGCTGCGAGCAGCGGCGACGCGGCGTCGCCCTCCTCCTCCTCCGCCTCACCGCCAGAACCGGCGGGCGAGGCGAAGAGCCACGCGTTTATTCACGACTTCTGCTTCGGTATCACATTCGGTGAGCGCCGCCGCCTCAGCGGGTTCGGCTGGATGGGCCGGCTCGGCTGTACCACCCAGTTCGGCTGTCTGTGTTATCGTTTGTCTCATCCGTCAGCTGTCACAGCCACCGCACGCGCACGCAGACGGCTGTAGCCCAAGCCTGCCACCGCTGCTCCCGCGCCTGCGGGCTCATTCCACACTCCAGCTCTCGACCCACACCCCTCCCGTTCTTCGCGCCCTCTTCGTCCGTGCTTCACCACATCATCTCCACATCATCTTCTTCTATCGTACGGCGCAGATCCCATCTGCTGCCATTGCTCCCTCCCATCGTACCTGATGCATCCGCCCTAGCAATGTGGGGTCGGTACCCGTGTTTTTCTTTCTCGCGAGTGATCCCAGTGCACGCGCGCCAGTAGCAGCATCAGCCCTCGTGGACCTCCGTCGCTCCTGCTGGTCAAGTGCGCAGACGCCGCGCCATCATTACCTCCTGTTCGTTCCGCCTTACTCCTCCCCGCCACTCCTCTTCTCATCCTCTCCCCTTCTCCTCCTCTCACCTCCTCTCCCCTCTCCACCTCCGCCTCTCTCACGTCTCTCCTCTCTCCCCTCCCCCTGCAGGCCGTCACAGGCGTGGCATGGTTGCTGCTCTGCTTCCCAGTAGCGCGCACCCCACGCCGTGATTGTCACTCACACCTGCATTCCACTTCACGCCTCCTCAAACCTCCCTCTCCCCTTCCCCCCTTCTCTTCCCGGTCTAAACAGGCGCGGCATCAGCCATGGCGGGCGTGACATGGCTCCTGGTAACCAAGCGCGCAGACGCCCTGTCGTGAGTGTCACTCGCGCTTCCATTCCACTTCACGCCTCCTCCTCTCTCCCTCTCCCCGTTTCCCCCGCCGCAGGTGCAGTAGCAGCGGTGGCAGGCGTGGCAGAATTCCTCGTGACCAAGAGCGCAGACGGCCTGTCGTGATCGCCACACCACACCTTCAGTCCGCTTCCTTTTCCCTATCCTTCTTTCCGCCCTCCCCCACAGGCGCGGCAGCAGCAGTGGCAGGAGTGGCGTGGTTTCTGCTCACCAAGAGCGCGGACGCCCTGCGCGTGACAGCTCTGTTCGGCGCCACCATTGCGCTGGGCGGGGTGGGCAGCCTGAGGGCGTGGCGCAAGGGGCAGTCCAGCACACCCTACATCCTCGGGCAAGCAGGTGAGTGCAAGGGGATTCCCAACCATACACATGCACGTGAATCCACATGCACGTGAATCCACATGCACGTGAATCCACATGCACGTGAATCCACATGCACGTGAATCCACATGCACGCTCGGGGGGTGGGCAGCCTGAGGGCAGTCGAGCACGCCCTACATCCTCGGCAAGCAGGTGAGCACTTAACCATGCACGTGCACATCAGTCCGTACACATGCATGTTTATGCCCACACATGAATGTTTATGCCCACACATGCATTTTTGTGCCCACACATGCATGTTTTGCCCACACATGCATGTTTATGCCCACACATGCATGCTTATGCCCACACATGCATGTTTATGCCCACACATGCATGTTTATGCCCGCGCATGCATGTTTATGCCCGCGCATGCATGTTTATGCCCGAGCATGCATGTTTATGCCCGCGCATGCGTGTTTATGCCCGCACATGCGTGTTTATGCCCGCGCATGCATGTTCATGCCCATCCCACACACGCATACACATACACATGCACGTGAACACCCACCCATGCCCACGCAGACACATCACACGCAAATACCCACCCATACACTCTCCACTCACGAACATACATACACACACACACCCACACACACACACCCACTCACACACACCCACACACAAACCCACACACACACCCACACACCCACACACACACCCACACACCCACACACACACCCACACACCCACACACACACCCACACACCCACACACACACACATACGGCCACACCCTCAAAATTCTCTCCCCTACTCATTCCCACCGCTCCCCTTTTCAACCCTCACCCCACCACATAGCCACCGGCTTCCACACATTGTCACTTCATCTGCAATGTTCCTTCTACCCGCCACGCACACCACCCCCATGCAGTGCTCGCTGCTGTCTTGGCATACCAGGCATTCGTGCGCCTGCAAGTGGTAAGCCAGTCTATGGCCCTTCGACAGCCCTTCAACAGCCCTTAAACAGCCCTTTAAACATCCCTTTAAGCAGCCCTTTAAACATCCCTTTAAACCGCCCTTTCAACAGCCCAACATCCCTTTAAACAGCCCTTTCAACAGCCCTTTAAACACCCCTTTAAACAGCCCTTTAAACACCCTTTCAAACAGCCCTTAAAAAAAGGATTTTGAATGGATCTTTTTAATCTTGTTAAAAAACCCTTGCTCGAGTCCTTCAAGCAGCCCCGCTGCCATTTTCTCAGCTGCCTCACTTTGAGTCTGCCACTTAACCATTCCTCGCTGATGCAATATTGAGCTGTGGGCTCTGCTTTCCGTCCAATCAGTTGCTTGCGCGTGGCTCTGATTTTCCATGTGCGCACATTCTTACCTATTTGTAAATCTGATCCTGTGTGCACGCACGTGCTTGTGTATTGTCCTGCAGACGGGTGATATTTTCCCGTTGGGACTTGGCGTGGCGGTCAGGTGAGCAGGGTGGGAAGATCAGTGTACATCCTTGACGCATTTTTCCTATCGTTCATGCAAATCATCGCTTGCATCTGCCCTCAAAGTGGCTGTTTTTTTTTTTCTTCTCTTCTCTTCCGGTCACTGTATGTCACTAGCAGTGTAGACTGCATGAGATCAGGGACCGTGAGAGTGTGAAAGGAAGCCCATTTGAATCAAGCCACTGCTTTCCCCTCCCTATTCCCTTTCCCCTTCACTTCCAACTTCTCCCCTCCCCTTCCCCACATTTTTCCTTGAGTCGTCCTCAGCGCTGCCATGGTGCTGTTTTACATCTATGTGATTCTGGCGGGCGGCAATCCTCCCCCCAAGAAGAAGGCAGCAACTGCTGCTGCTTAGAACTAGTGCATTTGAGGGGGCTCGGCACTAGCCTCTGTCCCTATGCTCCTCGAACCATGTAAAGCCTCTTCTTCCCCGCGTTGTTTGGGTTATCGGTATCCAAGTGTTACAGTTGGGGTCAGGAGAGTGTGCACTTGGGAGTCATACGGTACCAAAGTTGTTGGATGTCACCGCAAGTGGTGACACCGGTGCGTACATCCGTGCATTTTGCATGCATGGTTGGGATGGAGGTACAAGATAAGCATAATGAAACATCAGAAAGTAATTACATGCTGGCAGGCTTGGTTGTGCAACAGTGGAAGTCTGGTTCAATTAGTTGTGTATGTGGGGAGAGTTGAATGTTCATTTTTAGATTACCGCATGTGGATACTTTCAGTGTGAAAGTGGCAGGTGCTCGGTGCAGCTGAAACCATCGCTGCCCAAGTTACCCGAAATCGCGTCATGCGAGAGTTTCTAGAGCACCTTCGTCGATTTCGTCGAGGCACGGGCGGCCAACCGACGAAATGGAGGGACAGAGTAACCAACCAGTTCACGCCCGCACCACAGCAACCAACCGATCCGCCCGCCACCAGCACTACTCCATCGCTTCCACCCCACCACACGCTTCCACGCCCCTCCCCCCCCACACCCCTCGTGCCGTTTATGCAACACGCTACATAGCTTCCCCTCGCGTTAGATAGCTTACCCTCTCACAGATATGGCCGTTCCAATCAGCGGCTTCTTCCACCTCCACCACGTATTCCCCCTACCGAAGTCTTTGTTATGTCGGAGCGTAGTCCACACGTCAGAGTCCCCAAGCGTGCCTCCCGACTGATTCCACGCGCAGTCATTGGCCATGGCGGCTCGAGCAAGAGAGCACTCGTGTCCGAGTGCAACTGGAAAACCGACCTTCCGTGTTTCGAACTCGGCGATTCGGAGTGCAAAGGCCTATAAATGAGACGCTAAGCCTCACCACAGTCATCACTGCTTCCGTATTCGCTTCCCCCATTCTCCTTTTGATCGCCGCATACCTACCACAGCACTCCTCACAGCATAAATTCTCGACTGTGCTTCGCTCTGAAACCCTCGCATCCGCGTGCAAGCTTAGGTTTTCATTGCTGCTACTTCATTCCAAGGCTTATCACTGAGATCTGGAGATCGGAGAACCAAACCAGTTCCCTATGGCTGCTACTAGTACCAATGCGGGGCTCCGCGGAACGCGCAATCTGCTTCTCCTTCCGCTCGCCTTCCTGCTGCTCCTCGCCGCCAGCGCCGCGCAGCCCGTCCTTCACGCATCCCCCTCCGCCACCGGCTCGCCGCGCAACATCGCCCGCCGTGCGCTCGCTGGCGCGCATTCCGCCGTATCCCCGCACAGGCAGGAGCGCCGCAAGCTGTTCAGCTGGGACGGCGTGACCGTCGATCAGATCATTGCCGGCAGCCTGGGCACGATCGACGGTCCAGAGGACGACGAGGTGACGACGAAGATCGTGGAGATATTCATGAACGCGGGGTACAACGTGATGGTCATTCAGAGCGACCACTCCGTGCAGGGCGACCCGGCGTCCGCGGCGGTGGAGGTGTGGCACTTCTGGGATAACTCCGAGTTCACCGTGTATTACAAGCAGGGCCCCTTCTCTGTGGAGAATCTTGGGAATGGCGGGTATGAGAACTGGGCGTTCGGAGGCAACTGGGTGCGCTACGGCGCGGATGAGAAGGTCGTCGTGTTCTCCTGATTTAGTTACTGATGTGCTTTTGTTCCTAGAGCCTTGGCGTAGGGTCAGATCAAACCTAGCAGATGTGACCAGTTATTGAGCTTACACTGCTTCATGGTGTGCTTGTTGCTGCAAGTCAGGCTTGTCTCATGTCCATTTTCCTGGCTTCCAGTGTGGTGTGGAGGTGTATCTGGATGGTGTTCAGGTTGTGCCAATGGTTGTATTTGGTGATGCTTTTACATGAAATTCTGCTGCACACACTACCATCTAAAGATTGAGCACCGTGGTAACTTGACGCCACCAAGGCACACTTGGAGCTGTTGAAAGAACTACGGTAGCAGGGATGAATCAACTAGGATGAAGTTGGGTACAAATATGAAACCCTAAAGGGGCTATACCCCATATTGGCTACCCCACTACAGCCTACACACATATATTACATATACTATAATTTGACACACCCCCATAGGCAAAGTGGGGGAGAGCAAGGGGTCACAAGCAGGCCCCTAGATTCGTTTTGAGGTAGTCTGACGCCTCAAAGTGTTAGAATCTAGAGACAAGGATGATGCATTGATCAAGAGTTGGGTACATAAGCTAACCCTAACATTGGGTTGTACCCCATATGGGCTACCCCACTAGCAGCCTACACAAACACAATATGCATAGTTTGACACACCCCCATAGGCAAAGTGGGGGAGAACAAGGGGTCACAAGACCAGTCAAGAGAAACAAAACAAGCTCAGGGTGGATCACAACGTCACCACACACACTGAGCACAAGCAAAGGGCCACAAGGCCTGTCCACATGCAGAGGTATATATGCAACAAACAAAGTACAGTGATCACTACCTAGCAAGAGCAAGCATGCAGGTATATATATATATAAAGATCACAGTACAGGCAGAGTCTACAGCAAGTGTGGAAACGTAGGCACAAGGCCCAACAAGGTACAAAAGCGCTGATGATCACCAGACGGAAGTGCCTTGGTGAATATATCAGCAGTGTTGGCCCGAGTGGCCACGTGTGCAAGACGAAGCTGACCACGCTGCTGCAACTCTCGAGCCAGGAAGTAACGCAGAGCGATGTGCTTCGTTCTGTGCTCCAGTCTGTGCTCCTCACACAAGGCAATGGCAGCCTTGTTGTCAACGTACAGAACTGGAGGAGAACGAGGCCGCTCTCCCAGGTCGGTCAGCAGGTACGTGAGCCAGCGCAGCTCCTGAGCAGCCATGGCGGTGGCGTAGATCTCAGCCTCACAACTGGAGCTGAGAACAGAAGACGAGCGAGTAGAACGCCACGAAACAGAGCCAGAGCCGAGGCTGAAAGTGTAACCCTGTGACGACCACTGCGTAGCCTGGTCGTCAACCCAAGACGCGTCTGAGTGCCCAGTGAGGACCACCTCTCGCCGTCCTCCAAGCACGAGCCCCATGCCCGATGTACTGCACAAGTAGCGCAGTACCCTCTTCGCAGCATCCCAGTGCACCTTTCGGTGCCGACCAGGAGCCACGTAGCGGGCCAAAAGGCCAAGAGGGTACGCAAGGTCAGGACGAGTGCAAGTCATCAAGTACATGAGGCAGCCTACTAGCTCTGGGTAAGGACCACTCGGCTCTACGGACTCGTCCGAAGGTGGAGCAGAGAGCGAGTGACCTGTAGCCAGAGGAGTGGACTGTGCCGAGGACCAGGTGAAGCCGAAGCGCTGAAGGACCTGCTGCACCATGTGTGACTGAGTCAGAGTGATGGTGCGACGTGCTCTGTCCCGGGTGATCTGCAAGCCAAGGTAGCTGCGCAGCTCACCCAGATCTGTGCACGTGTGTCTCTTCTGCAGCTCCGACTTCACCAGGGCGAGAGCCTCAGTGTCAGCAGTGGCAAAGACCAAGTCGTCGACGTACACGAGTATGTAGAACGGCGGCAGCGAAGTGTCGGTGCGCAGAAACAGCGACGGGTCAGCTGTGGAGGGCGCAAACCCGAGAGCCGCAAGCGTAGTCCTCAGTGTGTCGTGCCACTCACGAGGCGCCTGACGGAGACCGTAGACTGGCCGGCGGAGGCTCCACTGGGTACCAGGAGGGAACGACCCAGTGAAGCCAGGTAGGCGGCGCAGCCAGATCTCCTCGTGCAGGCTGCCCTGCAAGAAAGCTGTGCTGAAGTCAAGCGAGTGAAGCTCGTAGTCACGCTGGGCGGCAACGTGCAGCAGTACCCGAAGAGTGGTCATCTTCGGGGTGGGGGAGAAGGTCTGGAAGAAGTCAACCCCCTCTCGCTGACTGAAGCCTCGAGCAACGTAACGTGCCTTGAAGACAGGCGGAGAACCAGGCGGCCGCTTCACCCTGAAAATCCACATGCCACTGACGATGTTCGCCCCAGGAGGGGGAACGTCGTCGACGTAGGTGCCTGTGGACTTCCAGGATGCCATCTCTGCGTCCATGGCTGCCTGCCACTGAGAGGAGTAGGGACCCGCGACCGCCTCAGCGTACGAGCGCGGGGTGGGGATGTCTATAGCATCCGGGTCTCCCTCAGGGGCAAGCAGCATGGTCACGAGATGAGGCGCAGCGGCTGCAAGACACTCAAGGTCCTCGTGCCTGTCCTCAAGGATGTCCGTGCTAAGAGCACACTCACCCCCGACGGACGGAGGACAGACAGACTCAGACTCAGCGACAAGACTAGCAGCGTAGTCTAGACGACAGGCAGCCGCAAAGTCAACAAGCTCAGCAACCAAAGCAGACGCAGCAGCAGACTCAAACGAGGGGTCAGTGACAACAGTGGCGAGCAGACGCGTGACAGTAGGGTGCTCAGCACGAAACCGGTCAGACTCAGGGTCCGGAACGTGAGGCAAGGAAGACGCAGGAGGAGACGGCAGAGAAACAGACTGCGGAACAGAGGAAGGACGACGGACGACAAGGTGTGCGGTGGGGACAGGCGGCGAACGCGGACACGGAACACGACGACCGGTACGACTAGGACGAACAGGCGAGACAGGACGCGACGCAGGCTCACGACGCTCAGCAAGACTACCCGTCTGCTCAGTGTAAGGAGAAGGAGCAGGCAGCGGTGAGCCAGGCCCTAACGGAAGACCAGTAGACGACGGGAGAGTAAGAACCTGACGAAGAGCAGAGTCAGGCGGCGGCAGAGACGACGGAGACGGCGGAGCGAAGAACAGGCGTGGCGGCGCAGCTGCACCAGAACCGGCAGCTCCAGCAGCTCCAGTACCCCCAGCAGCTCCAGCACCTCCAGCAGCAGAACCGACACCTCCAGGCCCAGGGTCTCCAACCCCAGTGCCTCCAGCAGCAGCACCCCCAGAACCAGTACCTCCAGTCCCAGGGTCTCCAGCCTCCACGTCTCCAGCAGCAGCACCCCCAGAACCAGCACCTCCAGTCCCAGGGTCTCCAGCCCCCACGTCTCTAGCAGTAGCACCCCCAGAACCAGCACCTCCAGTCCCAGGGTCTCCAGCCTCGGTGTCTCCAGAAGCAGCACCTCCAGACGCAGCACCCCCAGCCCCAGCAGCTCCAGTACCTCCAGTACGAGCACCTCCGGGACCAGCGACTCCAGCACCTCCAGTAGAAACAGTACCAGCACCACTCCCAGCTCCAGGGACGGCAGCAGAAGTACCTCCAGCAGTAGAGCCCCGGGCTCCAGCAGCGCGACCCTGACGGCGACCGTACCAGTCGTGCAGCTGCTGCGAGGTGAGAGGCACACGTGGACGAAGGCGGCTACTCCAAGGAGACCGCGCAACAGCAGACTCTGAACCCTCAGCGCCAGCACCCTCAGCAGCTCCAGCGCCACCAGCACCAGGACCTCCAGCAGCTCCAGAACCTCCAGCGCTAGCACCCTCAGCAGCCCCAGAACCACCAGCTCCAGCACCTCCAGACCCCTCACACGCAGGCTCAGCACCTCCAGGCTCGACACCCTCAAGCTCCGCACCCCCAGGCTCCTCACCCCCAGGCTCAGCACCCCCAGACTCAGCACCCCCAGAAGTAGCACCCCGAGCAGGACCACCCCCAGCAGGACCTGAGTCACCAGTGACCTCAACCGGCGCAGGGAAGGGAGGAGGGTCTACCTGAGACACACCTGAGGGAGCAGGACCTGGAGCGGGGAGAGGGTCGACCTGGGGAGCACCTGGAGCGAGGAAGAGCGGCGGGGGAGGGAGAGGGGCAGTGCGGTAGGGGAAGAGACGGTAAAAGGGAACCGACTCATCGAACGTGACGTCCTGAGACGCAAAGACACGGCGCGAGGTGGGGTGGTAAAACTGCCAACCAGGTGCGTCAGGGACAAAGCCAAGGAAGACACAGGGAACTGCACGGGCGGAGAGCTTGTCCGCGGTGGTATCGCGGACAAAGGCACGAGCACCCCAGACCCGGAAACGCGACGCATCGCCAACCTTCCCCGTCCACAGCAGTGTGGGCGAGGTCTCCGGCAAGGAGACACGGGGCCAGAGGTTGAGCTGATGCGTGGCGTACCGGACCGCAAACGGCCACAGAAAATGGGGGGCAGCCGCATGGATCATGGAGGTACGAGCGACCTCCATGACTAAGCCAATGCGGCGCTCAGCAACCCCATTCTGCTGCGGAGAGTCCGGAAGCGTGAACGACTGGGTGATGCCGTGCTCCGCACAGAAGGCCGCCAAGAGGTCGGAGGAGAACTCACCACCTCTGTCAGAGTGCAGACGCAGGACGGGAAACTCCGTCCCGAACCGCTCGCGGAGCTGGAGACGGGCAGCGCGGATCCAAGGGATCAAAACAGCAGGGACCTCCCCCTTGCTGCGCAGGGGAAAGACCGTGGTGTAACGCGTGTAGTCGTCAACAACCAGCAGGAAGTACCGCTCGTGGCCCTGTCCACGGACGCGGGCTGGGCCCCACACGTCCAGGTGGAGAGTCTGCAGGGGAGCCTCTGTGGGAGGGAACGAGGAGGAGTGAGGAGCGGCGCGCTGCCGCCCCTCGACGCAAGGAATGCAGGGCGGCGCAAGCGAGGGAGGCAGGGCAGGCAAAGACCTGGGCAGACCAGAAACCAGGAAGCGAGAGTGCATGCCACGAAGGC